AGTTTGGCACAGAGCAATCGGAGGACAGACAATGGGAAGTATTTTGTTAATGACTGGAGCAGCCAGAGGCCAGGAAAATGGGCCCATATTAAAAAAAATCAGCTTGACGCTGATGGGAGGATGGCAGGGTGAATATTCTGGAAGACCAGATGGGCCGAAGGGCCTTCGCCATTCATAGCGAGCTTGTGATAGCATCCTGCGTTGTGCTCTTAATACACGTCAAAGGTATTCAAGAAGGACATCAGAGCACCTCTGGGACACTAAGCAATGAAAAGGGCCTGTCTGGTCTGTATTTGTTTTCACTAGGGAAATTAAGATTGAGTAAAGGTTAAGAATGCGCGTGACACATGTCTTCACAATGATGAAAGCCATGGGCTTCAGAGACACAATAGAGGAAAGGAAGTTATAGTTTCATCTGAAATAATGTAACATTATTACAGCATTAGAGAGCATGACCACAACATTAGCAAGCCTGGAAATTGGATTAAAGATGGATCTTCTTCACCAGATCATCTGTAAAAATAATACTTGTATTTGATATAGTGTCTTATCATGTCTTGAGACATCTCAAAGCGCTTCACAGAATATACTGTAAAGTGAATTGATTGTATATTTTGTGGGCAAAACACAGCAGCCAATTGTGCACAGCAGTGCACAGCAGTCCACAAACAGTTGTGGATTGAGTGACCAATTTTTTTTGAAGGAAAAGCGATACGCCAATTGACTAAAAATTGGATTCCTACTTACTGCTTGGTAAACAGAGGCATTTGGAGTAAGGAAAGTTGCCCAAAGTTTCACCCTACCGGAACTCGAACCCAGGTCTCTCGCTTGTGAGGCAAGTGCTCTAACCTCTGAGCTATAGGACTCTGTGGACTCCTAGCAAATCAGTTTACATTGGGGTGTCTCCAATGTACATTGGGGCTGTTTGATGTGAGGAGCGAAGGATTACTTTGCCTCCATCAGTCGGTGGCCCTGATCTGATTTCAGCCTCAATGCCTGACACTGACATTTCAATTTTACAGGGAGATAAAGAGAACATTTCAATACAACAATATTTACATTTAACTTAGCACCTTATCACATCCTCAAAAAGTTTCAGAATGATTTTTTACTGCAAAGTGTAACCTAAAGCGAAAAATGCTGTATAAATGTAATTGCACTGTATTGTATTTGTTGGCATGTATGTGTATCTCGATCTAGCAAACTTTAAGAGGCAGGAAAAAGTAGGAAACAAAGGAAAGGGAAAAAACATGTGGGAGAGTAAAGTTAGGGAGGGGGGATCAGAAAAGGAAAAGCCAATAGAACACCCACAAAGGATAAGGGAACCTCGGTTAGTCACAGTCCCACCGCAGCTTCTGTTTTCCTTTCTGTGACCCCTTGGCTGGTAAAATGGAACAAGTCTCACGGGGCTGACAGAGCTCTGTGATACTCCATAAATGTCTATCAGACAATCTGTAGCAAACATCTGTCCTTCAGAGGAGAAGCTAAATCGAGGCCCTGTCTACCAGTTCAACAACAACAAGATTACATTTGTATAGTGCCTTTCACGTTGGGAGAACGTCCCAAGGCACTGAACAGAGTACAGCATTTCAGACCTGAGCTGGAGTTGGGGGGGGGTAAGGGAGGGAGATGAAGGGGCTGACCAATGGCATGGTCGAAGAGGAGGATCTTGAGGCGGGAGGCCAAGGAAGGGATGAGGCAGAGTGACTGGGGATGGAATTCCAGAGGCTGGGGACAGAGTGGCTGAAGGCTCTCCCACCAATGATGGGGCGGGTGGGTTAGGGGACGTGGAGCAGGCCAGAGCCGGCTGAGCGGAGGGAACGGCCAGACTGGTAGGGGGTTAGGAGATCGCAGAGGTAGGATGGGGTGAGGCCATGGAGGGCTTTGTATGTGAGGACCAGGATCTTGAACTGGATCCTCTGAAGGATATGGAGCCAGTGGAGTCGGGCGAGAGTGGGGGAGATGCGGTCACAGAGTTTGGTGCGGGAGAGGACACGGGCTACAGAGTTCTGGATTATCTGCAGCCTGTGGAGGGAGGAGTTGGGAAGGCCAACAAGAAGGGCATTTGCATAGTCGAGCCTGGAGGTGATGAAGGCATGAACAAGAGTTTCAGCGGCCTGAGGGGTGAGGTAGTGGCGGAGTCGGGCAATGTTACGGAGGTGAAGGAAGGCAGAGCGAGTCATGGCTTGAATGTGGGGGAGAAAAGACAGTTGAGGGTCGAACAAGACACCTAGGTTCCTGACTGGCTGGTGAGTTGTAGTGTGCAACCATGGAGGTTGATGCTGCCAGAGCCTGAGGTGCTGAGGCGATGGCGTGAGCCAAGCAGGAGGGTCTCAGTCTTGTTCACATTCAACTGTAGGAAATTTGCCCTCATCCAGGACTTGATGTCTGACAGGCAGTCTGTCAGGGCAGCAGTGGTCCTGGAGTTGCGGGTGGAGGCAGAAAGATAGAGTTGGGTGTCATCCGCATATATGTGGAAGTTGACCCCATGTCTGCGGATGATGTCACCAAGGGGGAGCATGTAGATATTAAAGAGGAGAGGGCCAAGAATAGAGCCCTTGGGACCGCCAGACATGACAGTGCGGGGGCTGGAGGAGAAACCGTTAGAGGCAATAAAGTGGAGACGGTGAGAGAGATAGAAATCGAACCAGGCAAGAGCAGATCCGTGAAGATTGAGTAAAGCAGAGAGGCAGTGTATGAGGATGGAGTGGTCGACAGTGTTGAAGGCAGCAGAGATGTCAAGGAGGACAAGGAGGCAGAGGGAGCCCTGATCACAGATGTTCAGAATATCATTAGTGACTTTGACCAGGGCTGTTTCCATGCTGTGGGCAGCGCGGAAGCCAGATTGGAGAGGTTCAAAGAGGGAATGGCGAGAGAGGAGCGGAGCTGGGATGTGACGACTTGTTCCAGGACCTTGGAGAGGAATGGGAGGTTAGAGATGGGGCGGTAGCTGGAGAGGAGGGATGGATCCAGGGAAGGNTTTTTTTCAGGATGGGGGTGATGACAGCTGTTTTTAGGGGGTGGCAACTGAACCGGTGGACAGGGAGAGGTTAATGACATCGGACAGGAGGGGGGCCAGAAGGTGGATCTGGGAGACGAGGAGTTTGGTGGGGATGGGATCGAGGGAGCAGGTGGTGGGTTTGAGTTTGTGGACAGTCATGGTGAGGGAGGAGGAAGAGATAGGGTTGGAGTATAGTGGGGGATGGGTGGGGGGTGGGTCATGAAGGAGAGGTGATGTGGGGTGGCTGTGGACGGGGCTGAACGTATCCCCTTGATTTTAGATTCGAGGAAGTCCAGCATCTCCTCACAATTGTAGTTTGAGGAGAGGATGGGCAAGGTATGGGAAGGTGGACGGAGGAGACAGTTAGTGGTGGAAAAGATTACATTTTTACATTTGTAAAGTGCCTTTCACGTCGGAAGGATGTCCCAAGGCGCTGAACAGTCGGGGATCAGCACCCGAGCATGGGGAGCAGGGTTGGGTTGAGGGAGGGCAGAAAGGTAGGAGGGCGGCTGAAGACACAGTCGAAAAGCAGGGTCTTGCGTCATGCCTTGAAGGAGACAAGGGAGGGGGCAAGGCGAATTGTGGGATTGAGTTCCAAATGGTGGTGGTAGAGCGGCTGAAAGCCCGGCCGCCGATGGTAGGGTGCGTTGGGCGGGAGACATGGAGCAGGCCGGAGCCTGCTGAAGGAGGGAGCAGACAGTTTGATGGGGGTCAGCAGGTCAGAGAAGTAGGAGGGGGCAAGGCTGTGGAAGGTCTTGAAAGTGAGGACGAGGATTTCGAATTCTATCCTTGAGGGATGGGGAGCCAGTGGAGCCGGGCAAGAGTGGGGGTGATGGGGGTCACGGGGCCTGGAGCCTGGGGAGAGGACATGAGCTGCAGAGCTCTGGATGATCTGCAGCTTGTGGAGGGAAGAGTTGGGGAGGCCGACATGAGGGAGTTTCTGTAGCCTTGAAGTGACGAATGTTAGGTGAATGACTGATTTTATCTGGGGGATTGTCAGCCAGGACACCAATGGAAACTCCTTCTCTTTTTCTAACAGTGCCAGTTAAAGTTCCGTGGCACTGTTTGAAAAAGAGAAGGGAGTTTTTACCGGAGTCCTGGCTGTCAATCACCCATGTAAATTAGTTGTTCACTTCATGGCTGTTTGTGGGCCATTACTGAGGGCAAGTTGGCTACCACGTTTGTCTATAAAATACACAATCCTACGCTTTAAATCCTAAAGAAAGAAAAAGAAACTCATATTTTTACAGCACTGACAACATTGAAATATAATACAAAATTACATTTGTAAAGCGTTTTTCTTGTGGGGAGGACATCCCAGGGCACTGAACAGTCGGGGATCAGGACCCGAGCGTGGGGTGGGCAGGGTTGAGATGAGGGAGGACAGAGGGATTAGGAGGGCGGTTGAAGGCACAGTCGAAAAGGAGTCGTGACTTGAAGAAGGCAAGGGAAGGAGCAAGGTGAAGGGTTTGTGAGATCGAGTTGCAAAGGGTGGGGGCAGAGAGGCTGAAAGCCCGGCCGATGGAGTGGGAGACATGGAGCAGGCTGGAGCCTGCTGAGTAGGAGGAGCGGAGAGGTTGATAGGGGGTCAGCAGGTCAGAGATGTAGGAGGGGGCAAGGCCATGGAGACCCTTGAAGGTGAGGATGAGGGATGGGGAGTCAGTGGAGCCGAGCGAGAGTGGGGGTGAAACCTGTCTAATATTAATCTCCCTAACCCAGGGAAGGTCAAGGCCAAATTAGCCTCCTCATTCAGGCCCAGTGAGATCAGAAAATCCAGCGTATATCAGGATTTGAATCCGTGCTTTGAGACATTTCAGCAACATGATAAGGTGCTATATCAAATGTAAGGATTATTATTATTATTATACTGTATTATTACAACAACCACAACTTGCATTTATATAGCGTTCTTCACGTGGGGTAGCATCCTAAAGTGCTTACTTTGCTTCATTGCTTAGATCTTGAACTAAAATGATTTTTTTTTTGTCACTGATCTCAGCAGGACACACAGACGCCTGACTATGCAGTCCACCACAGCCCAGCCGCATCTTGCCAATGTGACCTCTATCGTCCCTGAACACAACAACAGCGCCACTCACCTCCAGAAGGAGGCCTATCTGCATAAGCTGGCGCACCTGGATGAGTCTCTGTACAATGAGTACTACAGTCTGTGGCTGGCCCTGATGATCATTAACCTCCTCATGTTTGTGGTGGGCGTGGTGCTCAACAGTATCGCGTTGTACGTCTTCTGCTTCCGCACCAAGACCAAGACCACGTCGGTCATTTACACCATCAACCTGGCGATCACTGACCTGATGGTGGGCTTCTCCCTGCCAACGAGAATCGTCATGTACTACAGCGGAGGCAACTGCCTGACCTGCTCCTTTGTGCACATCTTCAGCTATTTTGTGAACATGTACTGCAGCATCCTGTTCCTCACCTGCATCTGCGTGGACAGATACCTGGCCATAGTCCAAGTGGAAGCCTCGCGCAAGTGGAGGAACCCTCACTATGCCAAAGGCATCTCTGTTTTTATCTGGCTCTTTGCCATTGTAGTCACCTACTCCATACTGACCACTGCAATCAAGTACGCCTCCTGCTGCCTCTCCAAGTTCTTCGCCCTGACCATGTTCGAGTACTTCTTACCTCTGGTTGTCATCACAGTCTTTACCATCAGGATCATGTGCGCTCTGGCCAAGCCCAACCTGATGCATCAGAGCCGGGAGAGGCGCATGAGAGCGGTCCAGCTCCTGCTCACCGTCCTGCTCATCTTCATGATCTGCTTCACTCCCTTTCACGTCCGGCAGGTCATGAGCTACGTCAAGCCGGACATCCCCCGCCACATCAGCCTGATCGTGTACCACGTCACAGTCACCCTGAGCAGCCTCAACAGCTGCCTGGACCCCGTGGTCTACTGCTTCGTCACCAACAACTTTCAGTCCACCATGAGGAGCATCTTCTTCAAGGCTGAGCTGGAGCAAACCAGCGGAGATATCATGAGCGCCCAGAAGAACTCCAAGGCATCGGTGCCGGCATCAACAATTGCGAGCCTGACAGTGAACGGCCCTGCAATGAACAGTGAGCAGTGAAGGCATGAGGGGAATGGTGAGAAGGAGAAGTAATGTCAGAGAGAGAGAATAAAATTGGGTTTGCTAGGCATGTTTTGTGTTTCAGTGCAAGATCACGCTGCGAGATTTGAGGCAAGGTTAGCTCATGATCTATTTATGCAGACAAGAACAACTGCAGAAGACCTGGCCTCATGTTTAGCTTCATTAGCTGAAAGCCAACCCGGTGTTTGCAGATGGAGACAGGTCAAACAATGAATGCCTTGATGCCTCTGGTTTATAAGATCTCGGGCCCCCAGCCAATGTGCAATGGAAAATTCTTGTTCCCCTTGTAAATACCACAATCCAGGTTGAATGAGTGCCACAAGTTTGCAGGCCCATCCATTCTTGCTTCCCACACTCAAGTGTGGTGTGTAGGTGCGTGCGCCACCTGTATAAAAATGTGGAACGTATTTTCATAGAATAGTAGGGGCAGAAATCTGCGATATTCCTTAAGACGAGGTATCTATTAAGGAATCACCACAAATTTCTTATAACACAGAAAGAGGCCATCGTGCCTTTGTCCATCTCTCTCCGAAGAAGCTTTCTCTCTTATTTATTCATTTCAAACATTTTACCACAAATTCATAAAGTTCTCTGGGTTCACAAGCAATGATCACATGGCTTGGTGCAGACAGGAGGAGTGTGTGTGGCTATAAGGCAATACACTTGTCAGCCTGACTCAGTTGGTAGCAATGAACAAAACACAAAATGTTGCATATGCTGGAAATCTGAAACAAAAACAGAGGGAGCTGGGAAAACTCAGCAGGTCAGGCAGCATCTATGGAGAAAGGAAAGTGAGACCACGACCCTTCGTCAGAACACCGACAACGGGTTGTAGACCCGAAATGTCACTTTCCTTTCTCCATAGTTGTTGTCTGACCTGATGAGTTTTCCCACCTCTCTTTGTTTTTGTTTCAGTTGGTAGCAATCTTGCCTCGGAGTCAAAAATTGAGGACTCAAGCTCCATTTCAGGAATTTACTGAAACACAACTATTTTTTCCCAGTTAAAAATCAGAGGCAAGATTTTTAATATTGAAAATAGTTTGATAACTGCAAATTGCGTAAGAGTTATTACGCATTTTTTGTACATAGTCTGTAAACAACATGCGCAAACCATATGTGTAAACTCATAGGAAGTATAAGATGTAGAAATGAAGTGATTATATTTTGACTGGGAGGCAAGATGTCTATGTTGGCAAAGACCTAAATATGCTCTCAACCTTCAGGTTTGTAAATACATTAATTTCTACACTGTAAAATATTGCACGGCAGGTTAGAATATAATCGTTGTAAGCCTGTCATTTTAGGTTTGAAAATGCATTATTTGTAGTGAAATGAAAATGATGATCTCGGACTCCTTTTTTATTTTTCGGGCTGCTTCTTGGCTCAGCAAAGATCAGAAAACCGATGTATCAGGAATTAATACTCTGGCCACAAAATGGCCTTTGGGGCAATCCTTACTCTGATTTTTTTTTAAATCAAATTTTGTGGCATATCCCAAAATAAAGCTATGAAGCACAGCCCATATAACAGAGTCATATTATCAACAGCTATTATACTGTATGTCCCACATTGTACCTATGTGGCTTTCTCTTCAGATCAGGAAACGTCGATCAAATGCAGCTGTGGCTACAACTAGCAATATAATAATAACATTATAATATGGTGCTGGTTGAAGTAAATTGACAATTGCATTGTGTAAAATCAAAATTCTTCTACCTTCACAAAATATAACAGACCCTGACCCATCCAAGACCCAACCAGCCTCCCATCAAAATATGTTTAATTACTATTAGCAGAAAGTGGATCATTAATATATGTCATCCAAGTTTGTGGATCACTCACTCCTTGTTCCAGAGTATCTATCTCCCCATGTACTTCACTAACTCAACAAATACTTCGACGGCAAGATTGGTGTAAAAAAATCATATGGCTTGTAATATTTTGAAAAGCACTGCCATTGCTGGTGCAATTTTTGTACACACATGGGTTAATTTAGAGTTGGATTAATAAAGATATCAATTTTATGCTACAACCATTTGTCTGAAGTTTACAGTGATTAATAAAGAAGAAAAATGATGTGGGACAGTGTCAATGGAACTTCAGATTCACAAAGACAACAAAATGTATTCAGCCACTAAGAATAAATTGTGGAAATTCTTTGTATGAAAGGCAGAAAGGGTGGACTGGGTTTCAATGCCTTATGACACATATGAAATGTCTCAACGTGTTTCATAGGATTCATTGTAATGTGTAGTGACTGTCTATTCATGTGAAAATGCAGTTGTGAATTTACTCACGGAAAATTCCTAAATGTCCTAAAAACAATCCATGTGCAACGATAATAATCCTTGCAATTATTATCAGTGGTTTAACTATCACCGCAAGCTTTATCCTTGTGTTTCAATTGGGCAAAATCAGCAGCAGCATGAATAGTGATAAACGTCTGAAAGAGCTTAAGAGTGACAATATAAAGCACCAAGGAGAGTGAAGGGAGATTTTAAAAACATTGCCTAAAATCATGGTCAAAGTGGGTTTTCAAAGTGGAATCAAATAAACTTACAAAAGGAAACCATCCAGCCTCTTTGAAAGAGCTATCCAACTAATCTCACTCCCCTCGTCTTACCCTATAGCCCTGCAAATCTTTCCTTTTCAAACACCTATCCAATTTGAATCTGCTTCCATCACCCTTTCAGGAAGTGTACTTCAAAAAAAATTCTCCTCATCTCCCCTCTGGTTCTTTTACCAATTATCTTAAATCTGTGTTTTCTGATTACTGACCAGAGAAAACAGTTTCTCCCAATCTACTCTATCAAAACTCCTCATAATTTTGAACACCTCTATTAAATCTCCCCTCCAACTTCTCTGCTCTAAGGAGAACAATCCCAACCTCTCTAGTCGCTCTACATAATTGAAGTCCCTCATCCCTGGTATTATTCTCAAAGGTAACAAAGTGCAAAGATTTTGGAAGAACATTTCAGAGAACAGGGCATGAACCGACAGGGTGAAATGTTGGGCAAGTTTCCTACACCACATGCCTCTATTTGTCTAACAGTAATTAGGAACCCGGTTGTTAGTCGATTATTGGATCGCTTTTCCGGGGGTAATAATTCCTTAAAAAATAATAATAAATTGGTCATTTCAAACCATGACTGTTTGTGTGCTGTGTGCAATTGGCCACCTCGTTTCACCAACAAAACATACAGTCAATTCACTTTGCAGTATATTCTGTGAAGTGTTTTGAGACGTCTCGAAGATGTGATAAGGCATTATATCAAATGCAAGGATTGTTATTATCATTATAATTGAAGGCTTGGCCACCAATTGTGGGCAGAGCAAAGAGTGAGCTGTTGGCCAGAATTGGAAGAGGATAGGTTAGAAGCCAGGAGAATCATACACTAAGTCAGCCTACTTCCTTGTGCATCAACCCAGAAATGTTCTTTTGTGGAAAGTCTGCTGCCAAAGGACCAGCACTATGATGTTCATTGTATAATCCAGAGATAATGTAGCCTGGAATAATGGGATCATGAGCCACAGATCATGTACAGTTTATACAGTCCTGGACTCTACCCAACTTATAAAATCTCTTTAGAGCAGGAAATAACCAAGAGTAAACCTTCCAAGAAGATAAACGCTCTGTGAAATTTATCCGCAACTTTTAAAAATGATCTGAAATAGTGCTAGGATGTGAGTCTAGAACTATGGTCCATATGACTGGATTCTCCAGTCTTGGGCAATTTCTGCTCATAGTCCCAGCAATATCCATAATTAGGGTAAAATTTGCAATGTTTGATAATGCGTTCAAGGTGTTAGTTAACATGAGATACATGTTATGAAATGATGCAATTTTACCCAGTGTTTTAAAGCTTGTTTGCCTTGCCCAACCCTCGCCAGTCTCCCCTGGCTCCATCCTTTCCACAATAATAATAATCCTTGCATTTGATATCCTTTTGCATGTCCCTTGTGCCTTCCATTCCTTAGTGGCCACCTTTTCAGTCACTATGCCCCGAAACTCTGGGACCTCTATCCACCTTGCCACCTCCTTCGCCATCGTCAGGTCGCACCTGAAGACCTTTCTATTTGACTGTTCCTGTGGTCACCTCGCCCTAGGCCAGCATTACTTACAAAAGAAAATCACACACTGAGAGAAATAAACAAAAGTCAAGAACTGCAAGATCAAAAAGATAAATGCAGATTGGTACTGGGATAGGACTTGAGGAAATGAGCCAAATAACAGACAGCAGCATCATGCTTTAATTTTCTCTCTTTCCCCCTCTCATAAGCGCTAACAACTTAATTATGCCTAACAGTACATGGAGTCCTAACTTAGTGTAAGAATAGTTCAACAAACCTATCACTAATAATACATTAACAAAGCATCTTTCACATCAGGAAGACTTCTCAAAACGCTTCACAGCATATATTGTAAAATGTGGAGACTGTGTATTATATAGGTGAATGTGGCAGCCAATTTGCTCACGGCAAATGTCCCACAAACAGCCATGAAGTGAATGACAAATTTTATTTGGATGATTGTTGGTCAAGACACTGGAAGAAACTCGCTTCTGTTTTTGAATAGTGCCATGAGATCTTCAACGTCCACCTGAACAAGCACAAGCAGACCGCACCTTGGTTTAACGTGTCATCTGAAGGATAGTACCATTGACAATGCAGGGCACTCCCAGCACTGTATTGGAGTGTCTTCCTAGAAAGTATGAGTTCCAAGTCCCAAAGTGGGACTTCAATCCACAACCTTCTGACACAGAGGCTAGAGTGTTACCAACTGAGTCAAGCTGACATACTAAGCACTCAAATCAGCGTAGGAGGAGCTGGGGTGTTTACTGGGCAGGGAGGTTGAGTAATCGAGTCTGGATGTGACGAAGGCAATGTAACAGTATCAGCAGCCTGCGAGTGAGTTACCTGTTGAGCCAATGGATATTGTGGAGGTGAGCGAAAGCACAGCTAGCCTAGATTTGTGGTTTGAGAGGATAGTTGGGGGTCGAGCAAGAAAACCAAAATTTCGCTCCTGATCCATGAGGTGAAGACCCAGCAGGTCAATGTTGCCACACTTTGATGAGGAGACACTGACAGGAGCCAAGCAAGAGAGCCTCACAATTACTGATATTGAAATATAGAAAGTTAGAAGGCATCCAGGGCTTGGTGTCTGACAGGCAATCAATCAGACCACTGTTAGCGCCCCCTACTGGTATTCTGTGAAGTATTTCTTCAATAAGTTGAGAAATACTTTAAGGAACAGTGCAAGTTTTCCCCCTACATTTTTTCTATGTTAATATGACAGCTACTGGGAGAAATGGTCCTCGGGAAAATAATTATACCTTTTGTTAAGCCAAGTGTTTTGAGTTATGCTGACAGTCAAAAATGTTGACTTTGCTCTTGTTACATCATTCTTTTTGCTGCTCTCACTTTGAAGTTGACTGTTTCTGGCATCGAAATGTCTTTTGGTGAATTAACTGACTGCTAGCCAGCCAATAAGAAATGGATTTTAGTTAACCATCTGCTAATATGGTTTTAAATATTTGAAGGCGGTGTGTTAGAACTAGATACTGAGAGAAGGATGATTGAGGAATGGGAGCTTAGCTGTGCCTGTATTCTGTGAAGCTATGCTGAACAAATAGTTGGACATGAATTCCCTGTAGGAGTCACCAGAGCATTTTTCTTTAATC